CCGCCTTGGCTCCGCCGGCGCAGACACGCAGCCCCGCGGGCCCCGCCTTGGCTCCGCCGGCGCAGACACGCAGCCCCGCGGGCCCCGCCTTGGCTTCGCCGGCGCAGACACGCAGCCCGTGCAGGGACCCGCCTTGGCTTCGCCGGCGCAGACACGCAGCCCCGCGGGCCCCGCCTTGGCTCCGCCGGCGCAGACACGCAGCCCCGCGGGCCCTGCCAGTGCCTGCTCGCCTCTTGGGAGGCGCGGCAGCAGGACCAGGCGCCACCCGAGCTCCTGGTTGTAGGGCCGGGAGCGCGAGGACAGGGACACGCGGTTTCACCTACACGCAGCGGCTGGAACTGGGGGGCTCGTCTTAATACAAGGGAGGGCTCCGCGAACACAGAGCGGCGGTCTGGGGTGATCCTGCGGGCTCCGCTGCTCACGGCTCACCTAAAAACGCCGCTGCGATCAGCGCGCAGCTGGAAACAGTCCTAGGCTCTAGTCTGGCTGCAGCGCTCTGCGGCTTGAGCTCCACACGAGATGCCCTGCCCCCGCGGGGCCCAGCTGCGTCTCAGTGGGGATCCGTGGCTGTGGCATGGCCACAACACGCCAGGCCACGCGTGGGCACAGCCCGCAGGAGGGAGCTTCCCGCTGGGACGCGGATCCTTCCTGCGCCGAGAACCGGCGTGGCGACGTGGTAGGCGCCTTCGGTAGCCAGGGAGGAAGTACCTGACAAACGCACGTTGCCGCTGAAAAGCAGCGTTATTACACATATGCACGTACACACACACCTGCACCACACATGCGTGTGTATACACACAGACGCACATGCAGCCAGCCAGACACATTCTTCTCTTGGTACTGCTGCAAAAAAACACAAAACCTGTACAAGACGAAGCACCAGCTGTGGGTTCACGAGCGAGACGGCCTGGGAGAGCGGCGGCCGCGTGTGGCTGGCGGCCCGGGAGGTCTGAATCCTCCCCCTCGCGAAGCTCAGATACACACGGTAAGAGAGGGAGGGACAGGCTGCCGTGGCGCCTCCCTGGTGCCGGTGCTGCTCGACATGAAACAGGCATGAAGCCAGCATGCAGCGGGTCGGCCCGCCCCCGCCTGGCGCGCACGGCCCCCCGCTCTCACGCCAGCCCTCCACACCCGCAGCCCGGCCCCACCTGGAGGGACTCGGACCTGCCGTCCAGGACCTGTTGCCGCGGGTGACCAGGAAAGGCTCTGCTTGGTTGTTTTGTTTAATCTGCACCAGAGAAGCGCCCTCGACCCGGGGCCCAGCGCGGGAGCCCTGGGGGCATCAGCAGCCACACCCAGCTGCCCCCCCAGGGAAGATTCTGGGGCCCCTGCACTCAGTTCTTCCAGCTAAAGGCATTCAGACATAGAAGCACCCCGGCGTCCTGAGCCCCACCCAGGGCCTGCCGGGGCCCCTACTCACTCGCGGTCCGTCACGACATAGCCGTACTCCTCCTCTTCCTCCTCCTCTTCCGTGGAGGCCTTGACCTGCAGCTGCAGGGCGTCGCCGGGGGGCTGCCGCGCTCCCTGGCGAAGGCGGTCGTCCGGCAGGGCCCCCTGCGTCCCGCTCTGGAGCCACCCGCGCCCCTGGGCTGCGGGCCCCGCATCGGGCCGCCTCTCCCACAGCTCCCTGGAGTGCGTCTGACTCCGCACGTTCTCCACGCCCGCGTCCTCCTCTTCCGAAGACGCGGGGGCCGCGGGCCGCGCCGACGTCCTCGTCTGCGCCGGGAGGGGCTCGGCGAGGCCGGGGGCTCCGGGCAGCCGCCGAGACCCGGGGTCCTGCGGGAGGTCCCCGAGGGTGGCGCCCACACGCGTGACCTGTAGAAAGGACAAGCCCATGAGAGGACATCTGAGAGGGGACTGGACACACGGCACCAAGGGACCCCAGCAACAGAGTCACCCGTGTGCGATGACGATGGCAACCTGAAACGGAAGCTTCCGGGTGCTGGCAGAGCTTTCCCGGTCTGTGCTCAGAGCCGCGTCCAGGTGAGCAACCGGATGCAGGACACGTGCGTGCCGGAATCGCTCAGGCAGCGTTCTCTCCCCCGTCCCACGTGTCCACACACACGCATGGCACCCACATGCACACATGACATACATACATGCACGCGCCACACATACACAAACACACACACACACACACCCCTTCCTGAAGAATCTGACTTTGTAGAGTCAGCCTCAGTCTTCAGCTTTGATAGTGATCTCAGGGCTATACTCCACCCCTCCAGAGGCGGTGGGCACCTAATTCCAATAACTAACAATGATCAATACTAACGATCTGTGTGTACTGTGACACTGCAGACAGGGCTCTGTGCTGAGGCCTCACACGCAGAAACACACTGAGTCACCCTGGTAACCCTGAGAGCCGCGAACCCTCGCTGACCCCATTTCACAGGTGGGTAAGTCGAGGCACAAAGAGACTAACCCACAAGTCAGCTTGCCACAGGGACGTGCAACTGTGTTCTCTCCACATCTGGGGGCCTTTTGTCATCGTGGATCATGCCTGCCCCACCCCGACCCCCATGCCCTGGACCAGGAGCCTCGGAACCACTCAGGGAGCACCCAGGCTGGGAAGTAAACTCACAGTGACGACACTCGGCGCCAACTGTGTGCCAGACGCTCATGTGCCTTGTGCAAACTGTCTCGCTTGATCGTCACCCAGCCCCATGCACGCTGTGCTGGGCTTGCCTCTAATTTGCAGACTCTGGGCTCACGGAGGTTAAGTGTTAAACAATTCTGCCAGATATCAGAGGTCGTGAATGGCACTGGCTTGAGCCCCGGTCTAAGTGACGGCAACGATGCCATCCCATTCCCGGGCTGCGCCCCACCCTCCCCGAGAAGGAAGGCAGCTCCAGGCACCTCCGGAACACGATCACAAGGGGCAGTGGGGTGATTTTTCAACCACGAAATTTCAGGTGCAATATCATGTTAGACAGAAACAGGGAAACTTGATTTACTTCATAATTCACTTTACCAAAGCACATTGTTAGAAAATTAAGGAAGGACTAAGAGTGAAAACATTCCCTCTTTAACTAAAACTCACAAGTTTTCCTTTTGTGTTTTCAAATAAACAAAATAGTAGTTTGATTGAAACAACTGCTCAGACCTGGATCCTGAATGACAACAGTACACAGCATTCACATTATTGAGTAGGGACAGGAATAATATTGAGTAGGGAGGAATAATATTCTCACTTAAAGTGCGTTTCGAGGGAGAAGGGAAAGGAAGGTGTTATTCAATGAATAAGAGCTCAAAAATACGACACCCAAAAATACCCTTTTTGAAAAACACTGCTTGAAACTATACCAAAAACAACAGAAATAAATCAAAACTCAGGGCCGTGAGAATGGACACTTGTGCTGTCGAAGTCCTGGGCAGTCTCCGCCCCACGGCGGACCCACAGCAGCCCGGCCGTGGTACCTGAGCCCCTGCAGGTAACGGGGCGTGGGGGAGGGGCGGGCGGGCTGCTGCTCACAGACGCGGCCGGTGCCCCGGCCCCCAATCAGTGACCGTGCTGCTCAACCCACTTCTCCCTCCACACTCGGAGCTTCCTGCCACATTTGGGAGACACTGGGCACAACAGTTGCTGACGTGCCCCTCCTGTTCTTGCTGACAGACCTTAAACCACAAACCACTGAGATAACCTGTCAAGAAAATTACTAACCAAAACCTAGAGTTTCCTGGAACCAGGCAGTATCACTGCCATTGTTCGGGAACTGATGCTCTGTGTCCGCAACATGTACCAATGACCAAAGGCTCCTAACCGGGAGGAAACCGACAGCCGGCAAACTTAGCAGGGAAGACTGGCACCGGGTGCACCTGGCATGTGGCCGGTGCAGCTGAGGAACTGCATTTTCTATTTCTTTAACTTCAGTTCATTTAAATTTAAGTTTAGACAGCCACACGTGGCCAGCAGCTGCCACACGGACAGCCCAGGGGTGCGTGAGCTAGACCCTGTACGCACCCCGTGTTAAACGAGCCTCAAAAATCAGCGCCTGCAGGGCGTGCTGGACAAAACGGGCACCGGACGTCATTGTGTGACATCCTGGGCTGGAAAATGCTAAGAAATATCAACTTTCTTCTTTATAGCAACCACATTCGCGTCTTTCTATAATGAATAAATCTGTTTATAACTTAAAAACAGATATTGTCGTGTATCTAAACACACAATGTGTGGGGTACGCTTCGTGACCTGTTTCAGTTTGGGGATCAAGAAGCTTTTTTCTCCATCCTTCTCTGGGAAAAAAAAGCCCTTTGTTTTTCGTAAAGTGGCCACGCCAGGAACGGAAGATTACCGGCACGACGCCGCGTTTAACACGGGCCAGAGTCTTACCTCTGCGTAGACTGCGTCATCGCCGTCCTGCGCCGCGCCACCTGTAAAAGATGACAGTGTCACCCAAGTCCTCCTGGCAATCTGTCACGGCCCGTAAAGCGACAACCGCGCAGGGTCCCTCTTTACGGAGAATGAGGCGTGATGACAAGGGCCTTATTTCTGCCTCAAAGCAAACCTCCCGCTCGCAGCACAGGACAGAATCCCGCGCACCCCACGGAAGGGGAGGGGACGCGGTGGCCGAGAGTCCCCAGGCTGCGGCCCGCGCATGGCCGCCGCCGCCGCCGTGGAAGGGGCGAGAGAAGCCCCTGCACCTGGGGCCAGGGGGTGAGGCGGGACTCCCAGTTCAGGGGCTCCAGAGCCCACTGGCAGGTTGCTTTGCTGTGGCTGCAGTTTCTCTACATAAATTTAGCACTCGCGTCGCCCAGTGGCGCGCGGCTCACGCACTTTCCTCCGGCGTGAACTGCAGCCGCTGGGGACGTGACCACACCCGGCACCTTCCACGTCCCGCCCCGCCCCGGCGCCTGCTGACTGCCCTTCAGCTGCCTAGCGCTGCACCCGCCCTGGCAGAGTCCTCTGCCCCCTGCAGCCTCCAGCAAGACCCGGTGCCAACCCCCAGCAGGGCGGGCACGTGTGACAGCAGGGCGGGCACGTGTGAGCTACTGCATGCAGGGCTGAGCTCGGCCTTCCGAGTGGCTCGGGGACTCTGCAGAGAAGGTGACGGTTGGGAAGATAACACAGCTCAGGGTTGCGGCTCGGGGTTCCCGCCGCGTGGGGGGGAGGGGCTCTCTGCCTCCTGGACCCCAGCAGCCCCAGAGGCTTGGGGTGCACCCCACGCAGACATCTGGGGGAGCCCCTCCCGCTCTGTTAGCCCGACGTTTGGCGACGTCCACTCGCACCGTCCAAACAAAAACACTTCCCGCCGCTGCTTTTGTTTCTGGCTCTGAACTCGGCACGGAGGAGGAACGGAACCCCCTGACAACGGAGAGCAGTTTGCCAGCCGGCGTCACTGCTCTGCTCGGCCGAGTCCGCCCGCCACAAGCTTCCAGACGCACAAGCCCAAAGAGAGAAAGTCACTGACACGAATCCCGTCTCCCCAGAAGAAAGAACTCGCTCAGCCCACGAACACTGGTCTCTCCCCCGCTCTTCAGCCGCACCCCCGCCCGGGACCCACCCCCAGTGAAAAGGACCCACAGCGCGGAGGTCACCTTGCGCGCTGTCTCCGTGGAGGGCGGGCTCTGGGCGCGGCTGCTGCTCTCCGGGGCCGTCCCGACCTCCTGCTGGCCCCACGCCTTGCCCCATGCCAGGCGTCCGGCCGGCCGGCCCGTCCAGTTCCAGGGGGCTCCGGCTCGCGGCGTCCACCTGCTGCCTCCGCAGGTCCCGCAGGAGGCTCTGCACCAGGGTCCCTAGGGGCACACGCACAAACACACGTGTATGCCGTGGGCTGGCGTCTCCAGGGAAGCTAGGGCAGCCCTGAGGGGGACAGAGCGGGGAGCGGGTGCGGCGCACTCGGCACACACCTGTGCACCTGCACCTGGGCCTCACCGCAGTCCCCACGCAGGGAGAGGGCAGCCCTTGGAGGACAGACCATCGGTACGCCCAGCGGGGGGCACAGAGGCTGGACCTGTGGAAATGGCTGGCGTGACGGAGCCGGGAGGAGACAAGGGTGTCAAGGCCGTCACGGTCGGGAGGTGGTGCCAGAATGACAGAGCTATTCCCTCTAGTGTGGTCACACGGGCCACAGGGTGCAAGCGCCCAGCACAACATGCCTGGCACCGCAGAACACAGAGCTGGCAGCCTCTCCCCCCGCACTTTCTGCGGCTGGCAGAGCGAGGCCACAGGCGGCCCTGCAGCCCCACCAGGCCAGGCTGTCCTGAGCACAGCAGGGTGGCTCGAAGGAAACCAGCCCTGTGGCTGCTCAGCAGGGCAGGGAAAGTGTTCTTAAATTTAAGATTTCCAGTAAAAATGAATCACACTTCATGATACTGATCAACACGTGCTTCCGAGAAATGAACTTTTATAAACGTCAAGATTTATGAAAATGCGGTATGTGTATGTGTGCATGTTTTTGTACATGTATGTGTGTGTGTGTGCACACGTGCTGGGGAACTCCACTCAGGGAGGCTACAGAACCACCAGGATACGTGTGTGCACGCACATGTGCTGGGGACTCCACTCGGGTGGCTACAGCACCACTAGTGTGAATGTGCGTGTGTGCGTGTGTGTACATGTGTGCGCACACACGTGCTGGGGACTCCACTCTGGTGGCCACAGCACCACTAGTGTGTGTGTGAGAGTGTTTGTGTGTGTACATGTGTGTGTGTGCACGTGCTAGGGACTCCACTCAGGTGGCTACACCACCACTAGTGCGTGTGTACTTGTGTGTGCACACGTTCTGGGGACTCCGCTCAGATGGCCACAGCACCACTAGTGTGTGTTTGTGCGCGTGTTTGTGTGTGTACGTGGGTGCGCACGTGCTGGGGACTCCACTCAGGTGGCTATAGCACCACTAGTGCATGTGTGCGTGTTTGTGTGTGTACGTGTGTGTGCGCACATGCTGGGGACCCTGCTCAGGTGGCTCCAGCACCACTGGTGCATGTGTGCGTGTTTGTGTGTGTACGTATGTGCATGTGCCCATGTTGTGGGGACCCCGCTCAGGTGGCTCCAGCACCACTAGTGCGTGTGTGCGTGTTTGTTGTGTACGTATGTGCGTGTGCGCACGTGCTGGGGACCCCGCTCAGGTGGCTCCAGCACCGCCGGGTGAATGCGGCCGGTCCGGAGATGTCTGAAGAAGGCGACTCTGGAAAACACTCTCTGGAGTTCACGGAACGACACGGAGCCCGGGACCCCCAGGACAGAGCAGCCGTTCTGTTGAAGCTTCTCTCGCTGTTTCCAGGGAAAGGGGTGTGGAGTCTGTTCCCACAGCGTGGGTGTCGCTGTGCCGTGCGGGTCACGTGTGACGTGGGACGCTGACGCTCCCTGACCTGAGCACGGTGAGGCTCTCGACTCCTCAGACGGCACACGTGCCAGGCGCCGGCTCTGAGACGCACGGTGGCCTGCTTCCCCCACTGCAGAGCATGCGGGCCAGGCTCCGGCTCCGAGATGCACGGTGGCCCGCTTCCCCCACTGCAGAGCACGAGGGCCAGGCTCCGGCTCCGAGATGCATGGTGGCCCGCTTCCCCCACTGCAGAGCACGAGGGCCAGGCGCCGGCTCCGAGATGCACGGTGGCCCACTTCCCCCACTGCAGAGCACGAGGGCCAGGCTCTGGCTCCAAGATGCACGGTGGCCTGCTTCCCCCACTGCAGAGCACGAGGGCCAGGCTCCGGCTCCAAGATGCACGGTGGCCCGCTTCCCCCACTGCAGAGCACGAGGGCCAGGCTCCGGCTCCGAGATGCACGGTGGCCCGCTTCCCCCACTGCAGAGCATGAGGGCCAAGCTCCGCCTCCAAGATGCACGGTGGCCTGCTTCCCCCACTGCAAAGCACGAGGGCCAGGCTCCGGCTCCGAGATGCACGGTGGCCCGCTTCTGCCCCACTGCAAAGCACGCGGGCCAGGTGCCAGCTCCAAGATGCACGGTGGCCCACTTCCCCCACTGCAGAGCACGAGGGCCAGGCTCTGGCTCCGAGATGCACGGTGGCCCACTTCCCCCACTGCAGAGCACGCAGGCCAGGCTCTGGCTCCGAGATGCATGGTGGCCCACTTCCCCCACTGCAGAGCACGAGGGCCAGGCTCCGGCTCCGAGATGCACAGTGGCCCACTTCCCCCCCTGCAGAGCACGCGGGCGTGACCAGGCTGCTCTGCACAGGCGACTGTCCTTGGCACATGCTTGTGCCTGCAGAAGTCTGCGTGTCATTCCTGCCTCCCACACTGGGTGACATGGCTGCAAAGTGTCCCGTCCTGTTTCTATGTCTAGCAAATAAATCTCCTTCTAAGAACGCAAACAAATAAATCGATTTTAAAGAATTTTTAAATTATGCTATCCAGAATTACGTTTTCAGGACTGTGCTCTTTCAGGACTCGGACGTTCGGGATTGCTGCATTCCTCATCACGACTGGTGCTGTGGAGAGGTCCGTGTTTCCTGGCGTGACCTGTAGATGCAGCGCAATCCCGGCCCGAAGCCCGGCAAGTTACCCCGTAGGTACGGGCAGAAGACCCAGGACAGCCGACACTGTGATGCAACCGTGATCGTGACAGTGGGGCGTTGGTAAAAGAACAAACAAATAGATGGATGGAACAGAAGAGAGAACCCAGAAATAGACCCACACATCAGCCAACTGGTCTTGGACAAGAGGGAAGACAATGCAATGGAGAAAAGATGGTCTTCCCAACCAACGGTGCTAAACAACTAGACATTCTCGTGTAAAAAAAAAAAAAAATGGATTTAGACACAGGCCTTACAGCCTTCACAAAAATTAACTCAACAAAAAACAAAAAAACAAAAAAACAAAAAAAAAAAAAATTAACTCAAAAATGGACCACAGGCCGGGCGCGGTGGCTCACGCCTGTAATCCTAGCTCTTGGGAGGCCGAGGCGGGCGGATTGCTCAAGGTCAGGAGTTCAAAACCAGCCTGAGCAAGAGCGAGACCCCGTCTCTACTATAAATAGAAAGAAATTAATTGGCCAACTGATATATATAAAAAAAAAAATTAGCCGGGCATGGTGGCACATGCCTGTAGTCCCAGCTACTCGGGAGGCTGAGGCAGAAGGATTGCTCCAGCCCAGGAATTTGAGGTTGCTGTGAGCTAGGCTGACGCCACGGCACTCACTCTAGCCTGGGCAACAAAGCGAAAAAAAAAAAAAAAAAAAAAAATGGACCACAGACCTAATTATAAAATCAAACACTATTAAAACTCCTTGAAGATAACATAGGAGAAAATCCAGATGGCCTTGGATTAGGTGAAGACTTTTTAAACATGACACTAAAGGTATGATCCATGAATAAATAATTGCTAAGTTAGGCCGGGCGCAGTGGCTCACGCCTGTAATCCTAGTAGTCTGGGAGGCCCAGGCGGGCGGATAGCTCGAGCTCAGGAGTTCGAAACCAGCCTGAGCAAGCGCAAGACCCCATCTCTACTATAATTAGAAAGAAATTAATTGGCCAACTAATATATATAGAAAAAAGTAGCTGGGCATGGTGGCACATGCCTGTAGTCCCAGCTACTGGGGAGGCTGAGGCAGCAGGATCACTTGAGCCCAGGAGTCTGAGGTTGCTGTGAGCTAGGCTGACGCCACAGCACTCACTCTAGCCTGGGCAACAAAGAGAGACTCTGTCTCAAAATAATAATAATAATAATAATTGCTAAGTTGGACTTTATTAAAATTAAAAACTTCCGCTCTAGAAAAGACACTGTCAAGAGAATGAAAAGACAAGGCACAGATGGGGAGAAAATATTTACGAAAGACATATCTGATAAAGGACTATTATTATCCAAATATACAAGAATTCTTAAAACACCAATAAGAAAACAAACAGCCTGAATAAAACACGGCTCCAGACCACAGCGGACCCCTCGTCAAAGACGATGAACGGTGGAAAACAAGCAGAAGGAAGGGTGCTCCGTCACCTGTCATCGGGGAAACGCAAACCAAAGCAGCAACGAGATCCCCGCACGCCTGTCCTGCGCAGTGCAGTCGTGTGTCCACGGGGCCCGTTCACTGCCGTGGGACGCAGAATCACTGCCACTTTAGGGGACGGCTCGGCAGCTTCTAACAAAACTCAACACACTGCACGATCCCACAATTACGCTTTTTCATATTCACCAGAAGAAGCTGAAGACTCGTGTCCACACGAAAACCTGCACCAAGACGTTCACAGCAGGTTTATCCACAGTCGCCAAGACGTGGAAGCAAGCGAGACGTTCCACGGTGGCGAGGAGATGCGTAACCGCGGCACGCCTGTGCGTGGGGTGCTGGGGGGATGCCGTAGTGTTGGCAACGCGGCGTTCTCAGCGCCAACCGGAGAGGAGCTGTCCGGCCACGGAGAGTCCTGGAGGAACCTGAGACGCACGTTGATCAGTGGAGGCGGCTGCTCTGACAAGCGGTTGCTGGTCCCCAAGATCATTGGTCCCCGTGATCTGACATTCAGCATGTGGCAGAACGGAAACAGTGCCAGGGCGCGGCTGCCAGGTCTGGGCGGGAAGCTCGAGAGGTTAACTGGACGAGCTCTCGCTCCCCCCCACAGCACTGCACGTCCACGCAGGGTACCCGGCCCCGTACGGTCTTTTGATTCCACCTCGCTTGAACACATTGCAGAAAGAGACGAGCTGTAAACGACGAAGGAAGGGACAGGATCTCTTTCTAAGATTTATTTTGCCAAACGGGCTTTGTCACTTGCATTACGTCGGCACCCCGTTTACCTGCCCCTCACCTGGCGGCAGGTGCGTGGGCTTAGCTCTGCTGCTGCCCGAGCCTGGACGTGGGGGCCTCGTGCCGGACCCGGCCCTACGGTGGGAGGGCGGCCTCCCCACTGGTCTCTCACAGGGACCTCCCTCCCTGCTGGGCGCAGCTGCTCTCTGGGTGCTAAGAATGTCCAGCCGTGTAGAAGAATGTGTGAAAACACAGCCCCAGAAGCTGGGCAAAAAATGGAAGAGAAGCCACGGTGCACAGGTGTCTGCACCTGCCCTGACCGCCTGCTGCCCCACTGGGGTGAAACTGGGTTTCACGGAGAGGCTGTCAGTGCCCTGCACCCCCTTATGGGCTTCCGTCCTTGCGGGCACCGTCTATCCGAACTTCCACGAAGGGTCCTGGGCGGCCATACCACACGGAGCGAGTTCCCCGAGGCCTGGTGGGGCTGCTCGTGGTCCAGCATCCGGGAAGCCCTCAGGGCACTGAGCTGGACCGAGTCGGGGAAGCCTGGCCGGCAGCTCCGGAGGAAGACGCTAGCTTCCTTCCTGTTCCTTTGTCACTGAACGTGGTAGGGAGAGAAACCCCATTCCCTCCTGTCTCGGCTGGCCCTGCCTCCCGGGTGGGGGTGTCTCAGACTCTCCGGCACTGGGGCAGCCGCACTCTATGTCGGCTGCAGACTGGCCTGGCCCACCCTCGGGCCCCGCAAGGGCTCAGCTCTGCACGAGATGCACAGAGAAAAGTGGAAATCTGGAGCTGAAGGACCGTTTTAGGCATCAGAGCCCAGGCCCACTGGCCAGAATAACAAAGTGGATTGCATTTCAACCCGCATCTTAGAGAGTGGGGCCTGCGGAGGTCCTGCTTTCTTGCAAGGCCCCCAAGTCTCCGTCAGGTGCCAGGGTCCCACCGCTCAGCCTCCCCAGGCAGGGGAGGTGCCACCACGGCACCACGGCAGCTGGTGTGACAAGCAGCTGCGACCCTCCCACGAACATCCATTCACACCGCTGGCACCGAGTGGCGCCGTCTCCACCAGGCCGCGGTCTGTGTGGGGGACAACCCCCCGCCCCCACCGCACAACCACACCAACACCCAACTGCAGACTGCGCTGGGTGGGGGTGGGGCAGAGCGCGTCGCGCGAGGGTCGGGAGGTTTCCCCGAGCAGTCTGTGAGTGACAGGGCTGCTAGTGGCCGGGCCGGCGGCACGGCCCGGGGCTGCCCGCGCTGTGAGGAGATGAGGCAGACTCCGCGCACCTCCCGCGGGAGGACAGAGCCCCTCTGAAGGCTCTTGCCAAACGCCGACCATAGGTGACCACAGGTGAGTGACTACAGGTGACCACAGCTCTGAGTGGGCTCCTCTTCACAGGAAAAGCAGCAAAGAACCAGGGAAACGCCTCTGGGAGGAATCGGGCAAGACTCAGAACGTTAACAACTCCGTGAGACAAACGGTCTCGGTTTTAGAAAAATATTGCAAAGGAAAAAAAGAGGCAGGGGAAACCGGCTGTGGACTGAGGGGTGAGGCGGATCTATCCACCCTCTGTGGACCTGGCTCCAGAAGGACCAGCTGTGCAGAAATGCACAACTGGAAATTTGAGCACTGAGTGGGTGCTTGGGGAAATTAAGGCAGCCTCATGAATCTCTGGGAGTCACAAAGCTATCGCGGTCGGTTCGTGGAAGAGCGGTCATTTGGCCACACAATTCCGCAACATGGAGGACGAAATCGCCCGCGTGTCAGGTGCACAGAGGGGCAGGACGGTGGGAGTCGCCGTCTGCTGGCGCTGGGGGAGGCACGCGTGGGCTCCTGCACGGATCTCCACGCACCGCGCCTGGTACCTGACGCTTCACACCTGCCTTCAGGGGCCTGCGCGCCGTTACGAGGACAGTCTACGTGAGAAGGTCACCCACCAACAAGTGCCAGGTGGCACGGGAAAAACGCCGAGCTGGTTCTGTAACAAGGGTCCCGGGGGTGGAGAGGGCGTCAGTCATCAAGGAGTGTGTTCCGGAGGAGCCGCGCCCCAGGGTGTGAGGGAGCACGGAGGGGGCAGGGAGCCGGGCGAGCTGGTTGGCAGAGTGGAGCTCGCTGTGCTCTGCTGCGAGCGCACCTGGCTCTCCAGGCAGCCCTGGTCCCTCTGAGGGGAAAGTGGGGGTCACCTCTTCCCGCTCCCAATAACTAGCACGGCCCCGGCGCCGAATGGGGATTTTTAAGTCGTAGGGAATGGGACATGAAGGGTCGGGGGAGAAGAGAACGTCACTGGTACGAGACCGGAGGCAGGGGTGAGGGGCAGAGGGTGAGCCCGGAGGCAGGGGTGGGGGGCAGAGGGTGGCCGGCCCAGGGCGGGCGAGATGCTGCCGGTGACGCACGTCTCCGTGGCCGAGGCTGAGTCCCCGGCCAGCATGACTGGGGAGCGTGGGCAGGGAAGACCTCAGCGTGGAGCCCGGGACTGACCCGCGTGCGAAGGTGCAGGGCTGAGGCCAGTTCCCCGGGGGTGCGCGGTGGAAATGGGAAACAGCCCTGGGAGGGGGAGGGGGAATCGCCAGCAGGAGAGCCCCCCCCGACGCGGCCACCTGCCCAGGCCTGGGGACTGGACGTGGGCAGCTCCGTGGGCCAGACTGGCCTGGAGCCTTGCCCCACCCAGACTGTGCGGTCTGGGGACGGGACGGGAAGCAATGAGGACTGGACGTGGGCAGCACAGGCCGTGGGCCAGATTGGCCTGGAGCCTTGCCCCACCCAGACTGTGCGGTTTGGGGACAGGACGGGAAGCATTGAGGACTGGACGTGGGCAGCACAGGCTGTGGGCCAGACCGGCCTGGAGCCTTGCCCCACCCAGACTGTGCAGTCTGGGGACGGGACGGGAAGCATTGAGGAATGGACGTGGGCAGCCCCTCACACTCCGGGAGACAGCCCCCGCACGCCCCCGGCCACCTCTTTTTCCACCCACACGGAGGGTGAGCCGGGCTGGGGCCTTCCTCACGCTTTGCCCGGCCCCTGCCACAGACCCTAAAGCGAAGCGAGGGGTGAAGACCCAATGGCGGGAGGGGACCACTGGCAGAGGGCCACCACGGGTGGCAGGGCACTGGGGGACCAACTCACCTTCATCCGCGCCAGGGGCAACTTTAGGGTCTTCCAGAGGCGAAGGCCACTTCTGGGGGGTGGCCGGTGCCAGGAGGGGCCTGGGCAGTCTCGGGGGCGCGTGCAGAAGGTACTGCGGCCCCAGGTCGCCCTCGCCGGGGGACACAGGGGGCCTCCGCGCTGCGTAGGCACTGAGGGCCGCCATCAGGGGACGTCCATCCACGCTGCCGTCCACCTGGGGGCTGAGCTGGTCAGGCTGGGGCCGGCCGAGGGTCCGAAGCGGGGGGCCCTCGGGGAGCTGGGCCCGGGGCCCGAGAGGGTAGGTCAGCACCGGGGTGCGGGCCGCGTAGGTCAGGATGCTCTTGGGGACGGGGTCGGCGGCCTGGAGGGGCAGAGAACAAACAGGGCGGCAGTTTTGCGTCTCCGTGGTCAGCCACGGCATGCCACGACACCCACAGCGCGGCCCTTCAGAAACGCGACCGAAGCGACGCTCTCGTTCCTGCTCTACTGACCCACCGAGTGCCACGCGCCCCAGCCGTCCTGACGTCGATTTTAAAGGACAGCCTGGCTGAGACAACCCTCACATGCCGTGAAATTTACCCGCTCCCATGGGTTTTGTCTACTCGGAGTCGTGCTAAAACCTCCGCTGCTCAATTCTAGAACGTTCTATCACTCGGAAAGAAGCTGGGTCCACACTCCTACCCCGCCCCTCGCCTGGCGCCGCTAATTCACATCCTGTCTCTACGGGGCTGCCTATCGGGGCCGTTTCGCGTAAACAGAGCCGTGCAATGCGCGGCCTCCTGTGCCTGGCTGATGTCCCCGAGCATGACGCCCTCGCGGCACACCCACGCCGAGCAGGCGCCGCACCCCTTCCGCCGAGCACCGATGACCCTCCCCGGCTCGCCCATCCCACGCGGTGACCATTCCCTCCTCAGGCGAGAGGCGCGTGGGCCACCTCTGCTGCTCGGCTGTCCGGAGCACGCCGGTGCGAGCACTCGGCGTGAGTCTCGGGGTTCCTGTCCCCGGGCCGAACCGGGATGCGGCGTTGCCGGGGTGCGGCGTTGCCGGGGCACACGGTGCCCCACATTTAACTGACTGAGGAGCATCCAGACTGTTCCCAGCACGGCTGCTGGACTTCACCATCCCGCCGGTCACGCGTGACTTCTCCGGTCTCTCCACGTCCTCGCCGGTGCTCAGTGTTCTCGTCGTCCCCCTCGCTGCGGCCGTCCTGGAGCTTGAGAAGTGGTTTCTCACCGTGGCTTCGGTGGCGCTCCCAGATGGCGGCCAGTGGCGCTGCACCTCTCTGCTCATTGACCACCGAGCGTCTCCTACAGAGACCTGCCCGTCCGGGTCCCCGTCTGTGCTGGGGCTTGTCCCGCCACGAAGATCCCCTCCCCACGGCGAGTCTCGCTTCAGCAGCCTCAGAAGGCTCCGAACGCTTCGCCTTTACTTCGCCCTGCTCCTTCGCCGACTGCTGAAACGTTTTTCTCCCGCTATCCTCACCGCGACGCCGTGCACCAGCGACCCTGCCAGGCTCCTGGTTGGATGACTGCCTGTGATGTCATCTGTCACCGAAGCCCTGGTGAGCACGGTCTCTCCCCGAGCTGTGCCCGTGTCTTCTCCCCGCCCATGCAGTGCACGCTGGCAGAAGTCGCGGCGTCCTCACCGCTTGTTTCTGCCGCAAGACAGACGCAGGCGCAGGTGGCTGCCCCACCACGGCGTCAGAAATCTCCACGCTCCACCTCTGGCTCCGGCCCCATCAAAAATGTCACGGACGAGAACAGAAATTTCCAGCTTCGAGGCTCTCACGGAGGCCCAGGCTGCCCCGGGAGCACACTGAGCCGCCTTGCACCTGGGGTCTGGGTCTGCGGACCACGTATCTTTAAGATCTCGCCGTTCATATTTCACACTTGCTCTTTCTTGGGGCACACATGATCAGTGTTGAGTCTGGGGGGTGCCCGCTGGGCACGGGTTAAGGCGTGCAGCCTCAACTGAACTTAAGGCCAGTGGTTCAGCCCACAGTCTGCTCGTTTCCAAAACTATCTGGGTCCAAGCTTCAAGGGTGGATTTGGGAGCAAGCTGGAAGGTGGGGACAGGTGGGTATGGGTTCCAGTTTCACTCTTATGCATGAACTTCGGCAAACCACCTAACCTTTCGAGACTCAATTTTCTTCTGTCTGAGAAAGAAACTCGACGTTATCTCTAAGACTTTTCTGTTATTACCTCTAAAATGATCTGACTGTAGCTATCATCCAATCATTTAACTCTGTCCGAGGACTAAGCTGGTAAATGAGCTGCTCTCCCGTTAGAAAGGAGACAGCCAGGCGGGCGGGAGGGGGGGAGATGCTGCCACAACACACAGCGCCTCCGGCGATTCCCCGCAAATTGGGTGTGAACGTCAATCTCAGGCTCGGCCTGCGCTGCCAGTTCTGGCCGGCCGGCTCTGAACACCTGGCCAGGCCGCCGAGCTGGGGGCTGCGATCCAGGTCGCAGCGTCTCATTAGCGTGCCCACGAGCATCCCTCGCTGCGCGCTGGGGCGGCGGCCTCACTCAGCGGCCTCTAATTACAGCTGCGCCGCAGAGCTCCGGGCACCGGCACCCGGGCTTAGCACAGGAATCACAACGACGCTGCAGCAGAGTGTGATCCGCGCGGCCAGCGAAAACGGATTGTTTATGCTCCGAATCAAATTAAGGAGAGGAGGAAAGAGAACGTTTCGGCAGCTGCGCGAACAGCCGAGACTGCAGAAATGACAGCAGACATCGGTTTCCCGAGTCACCCCCGGGTGCTCTGTAAATGACTGCAGGCCCCGCGGTGTCCTCGGGGAGCTTACGGCAGCCTCGAGGTGAGGTGTCCTTCCCGTGACCATGGGGGCACGGCAGGTGGGAACACGAGCAGTGAGGAAGACAGACTCATGGCGACTTCAAGTCTCAAAACAGAGGGTGCCGGGCTCTGGGGCTGCCCGACTTTGAACCCACCCCCAGTGCCACGAGGCTAGCGGTCTGTGGTCTGGTGAGCCGTGTAACCCGTAAGTCACCTGCCCGTAGGCACCGTCACCACAGTGCCTGCTGCAGCAGTGTTGATGGCCACTGCTTTTATTTATCTTGCTTTCTTACACCTGCACTTTCCCTAAAGAAGTCAGGAAACCCACAGCTCAGCTGAGGTGGAACCAGCCAATTGTACTTTTCCTTCTACTTTCAGCTCTGAGTTTAAAATCCTGTGACTCATTTTCAAACCCCCTGTTTTAAAGATGTTTCAAGTCTCAACCAGACATACCTACATTGTGGGGTTTCCCAAGATAATGCTCGGCAATTTTAAGGACTGTAGCTGCCCAAATCTATAAATTAGCAACCTACAAGCAAGAACACTGACCAATTTCCAATGCATGGTACAGACACTTCTGATACGTGAATTCTTCAAACTGTGTGTAAGAGAATCTAGTCTGGGCATCGATGGTGTGGTCCACTTTGTGTATACAGAGCATTTGAGAACTGCTGCCAAAGTTTGCCGAGGTTTAAGGCGCATTTCTTACGCATTTCCACACAGCAGTAAAACCAACACCCACATGCTAAAGAGAACCAGTGGGGAAGGCGGCTCATCAGGGAGACTGGCCCCGTCCTGTCAGCACAGCTCTGATAACTCTGGATGATTATCCACCCTCCTTGGGCCTCATTTTCACCACCTGCAAAACTGGAAAAATGATTCTCTTTTCTTTAAAAGCAGCTGTGATGATTATGGACACTACGGGTAAAAGTGCCTCGCTCAGCACGTGGCTCAGAGGAGGTATCTGATAAGTGGCAGCCATGTTAGTAATGCCCCACCACCATCATCATCATCCCCACCAACAACAACATCACCACCACCACCATCATCATCATTCCCACCATGAACAGCATCACCACCACCACCATCATCCCCACCATGAACAGCATCACCACCACCCCACCATATCATCACCACCATCAACAGCATCACCACCACCACCATCATCATCATCCCCACCATCAACAGCATCACCACCACCACCACCATCATCATCATCCCAACAACAGCATCACCACCACCACCACCACCATCATCATCATCCCAACAACAGCATCACCACCACCACCACCATCATCATCATCCACCACCACCATCATCATCATCCCAACAACAGCATCACCACCACCACCACCACCATCATCATCATCCCAACAACAGCATCACCACCACCACCACCATCATCATCATCCCCACCATCAATAGCATCACCACCACCACCATCATCCCAACAACAGCATCACCACCACCACCATCATCATCATCCCCACCATCAACATCACCGCCACCACCATCATCCCCACCATGAACAGCATCACCACCACCACCATCATCATCACCACCACCAACAGCATCACAACCACCCCACCATCATCATCATCCCAACAACAGCATCACCACCACCACCACCACCATTATCATCCCCACCATCAACAGCATCACCACCACCACCATCATCATCATCCCAACAACAGCATCACCGCCACCACCACCATCATCATCATCCCCACCATCAACAGCATCACCACCACCATTATCATCCCCACCATCAATAGCATCACCACCACCACCATCATC